TCAGATGCTCAGAAGCTCCTGCTGCTCTGATGCTGCAGGACCTTCTGCTGCACCTTGATGCGCGTCAATCATTGACTTTGCAAGTAAACTTGCTGCTTCTGCTGCTTTAGGTGTGAACGTAGCATGAGAAGCAATGAGTTGCCATGTTTTATGATGTGCAGCTTAACAGCAGTGAGCAGCTGAGCGGGCATGCAGCTGTTGCTCTGTTAGAGCTCATCTTTGCTCTTCTGACAGAAAGTTTAAGCATTAAAAAATGATCCAGTTATAATGATATTAATTTCAGAAATGAACTTTTCAGTTTTGGTTCTTCTGAGCCTAAACGTTTGTTCTGAACTGTTGCTGCTGCTGGTTGCTCTGTCTGATGATCAGCTACAGCTTGGCTTTGCTTTCTAAGGTACCTGTGGTCCAAAGGTTCTTAGAGGATGAAATGGTTTTAGCATGAAGTAACGGAGGATGGTCTCCAGGCTGCTGGCTGTCGGTTACCTGGCAGAAGATCAGCATGTTCCAGATTCTGCAGCCTTTCCTGTAGGAACTCAGCTTCTTCTCTATCTCCTCTGGAGGGAAACCAAAGTGAGGCGTCACTTTTCACACTCAGCTTTCTGGTGAGAAACATGAATTCCTCCAGAACCAGTGAGTCATCTCTGCACTCAGCCTCCTCTAAACTCACATCCTTTAACAACATGAGGCGCTGTGAGCATTCAGAGAGGAGGAGCAGAACTTACCCAGGATGTCATCAAAGGTGGCGTGTTCATGGTCCTTTAAACACAACATTAAAAACATGCATTAATATTCTGCTAAACAACCAACAGGAATAGATATCAGCTCTCAGTTTGGAACTTCAGCACCTTCTAATTCACTTTGGCTGAATTCAAACTACGTCTAACAGTAGAAATGGAAAGAAGCGGCGATGAATGGGAAACGCCTCAATCACTTCACGCTAACATCAGGATCACTGCTGCGTTTTAAAGGGGCTCAGCCGTAGCATCACTAGCTGTGAACCTTCCTCTCTGGCCGTTTTCCTCTAATTAAGACAAACCTTTCAGAATCTCTTAACTTCATGAATTACAGCAGAACAGGTTAGCTGAGAAACAGTCAGGTTTCCATCGTTCCACCAATCAGCTGCTTTTATTTAACCTGAGTGGAAAACTTCCACAGTAAAAAAACAGGCGTCCTTCAGTAGACCGCGTCTTTAAATAGCAGAAAAGGTTAGTTATGAAAAGTCTGTTTTTATTCTGATTTACATCAAAAGCTGCTAAAATAAAATGTTCATCTTTCAGCTTCCTCACTGAAGAGTGTGATGCTCACTGGGAGCAGCTGAGTTCCAGTGTTTAGATTGGTCCAACCGTCTGATCAGGGCTTTGATACCCGCTACAATGCAGTGATGCTTCACCCAAAATATGCTCATTTCTAACACGTCAGAAATTTCCCACAATGCACCAGACCAGCCGACAGTAACGGAAGTAAGTTAGCATTCAGTACTCACGTATAGAATAGGGATGATGGAGGGATCGTCCCTCCGGATGATGTTGGGAACATATTCGGCCTTCGGTACTTTAGAGGAGATGAGCTGTGAAATAATAATAACATCATTAACGGCTGCGTCAGACGCAAGAAGAAGAAGAAGAAGAAGAAGAAGAAGAAGAAGAAGAAGAAGAAGAAGAAGAAAGCTGGAAAACAACAGAACTAAACGTGTAACATTAGAAGGTGATCCGTGCTTTTCACAACAATTCATTCATTTAAAAATAAAGGGCTAGTCAGAAATAAGAAGTTTGACAAGTCCAGTTAGAAGGAAAGGAAACTTCACAACATTTAGGATTCAAGAAGAATTTTACTTTAATTATAACATTAATCCATAAAACTCTGAGTCCTCTAGATCCTCTA